GAAATTGACAATGAAGTCAAGATCAGTAGATTCGGTCTTGGTACATATCTGATAAATATTGAATCTAATGTTGCTCGAAGCATAACTGTTTGTCTAGACTTATATCTATAACCAATAGAAAATTCGCTACCGTAAAATTTCATTTACATTGACCCAAGTGTCAAGTATAATTTAATTTTTAATATAAATGGCAATGATCTTTCAACAGTATCATATACTAACTAATGAGATTTGATCTTAGCATTTATTCATTTAAAATTCAATTGATTATTTTCTTTTTCTCTCTAGACTTTGATTCAGTTGACAAAGTTATTTTATCTCGACCACATATTATTGGTGAGTATCGTGTTGATGTTAAAAAAGCTGTACCAAAAGATCAACGACAAATACAAACTCAACAACAACAGCAACAGCAACAATTACAACAACAACAACAACAATATGCTTTACAAATGCAAGCTGCAGCAGCTTATCACTATTATTATAATAATCCACCATATAATCTTTTAACTAATGCTAGTTGTACACTTCCAATATCATCTCCACCTTCATTAATGACTCACAATGGTAATAATGGTGCTGGTTTAGATGATATTTTTTCTCATATTCGAACATCGAACAACAATAATAATATTTCGAATTCTCTTCGTTATATTCCCACACGCAATAATCGTCGACAATCATCACGTGGTAGTCAATAATATAAATTGATTATTATTTTTTTACTTTGTTTATCCTTTTTTTCTTAACAATTTATTCATCTATACATATATATACATATTTATTTATATATATATGTGTTTCAACGCATCAATATGTGTGTGTTTACAAAACCAAAAAGATCAATCTCACTCAAATATCTCGAGTGAACATTTGGTGAACGAAGAAAAAAAGACAAACAAGTAAAAAAAAAATACGTTTGTTTTGTTTGATGTTACTTTTCTTTTTCTAGTATTAGTGCTATTTATATTTCTTCTTGTTATTCTTTATGTCTCTGTTTTTTTTTTATTTTAATCATTCACAAAGCAAGCTTTCCCATACTTATGCATCTACATATATATATACATATATATAAACTGGCTTATACAGTTAAAAAAATTATAGCTATGAATACTTGGGGAAGAAAAGATCCGATTGTTATTTTCACTTTTTTTTTAAAAGAAAAACAAAATGCTCATTTTTAAATAAAACTATTCATAATAGGTTTTTTTTTCAGATTTTTCTTTTATGATGTAACGTGATTATTACATTGGTAATAAACGGTATGTATAAATAAAAAAAAACAAAGATTTTCTTAATAATTGTTTGTGAATTTAAAATCATTACTTCTGTTTGATTTTTCTAAATCTAAAATAAATATTACTAACTTTGCACTATATGTGTGTGCAATTAATACATATAGTAAATTAACTATGTGAGATGATTATTGATGTTGACATATACCTTCTAATGAATTGATCTAGTGTCTTAGATCGACTCGATGTTAATATTCTTCTTTTCTCTTTTTCAATAGAACAAGATGATATCGGTTGTACGCGCCCAGAAAATCTTGTTCCAAACTAAACGTTTTAATAATATTTCATGGATATGCCATCGTGCTACTTCATCAGCTCCTACTCCAACAACTACTCAATTAGCACATCAAGTCGGTCATCAAGTTGCCGCTGATGTCGTTGATCCAGCTAAGAAAATAATCGCTGGTGCACCATATAAATCCCTTTCAATTGGTGTACCAAAAGAAACATATTTAAATGAAAAACGTGTCGCTCTTACACCTACTGTTGTATCAACACTTGTTAAAAAAGGTTATACATATATAGTTTGTTTTTAAGATCTCTTTAAATTAATTTGTAAATAGGATTTACATTACATGTTGAAGAAAATGCTGGTATAGGTGCACAATTCCCTAATGAAGATTATCAAAATGCTGGAGCAAAAATTGTTTCACGAAATGCTGCCTATGCATCGAATATAATTCTTAAAGTTCGACAACCAAGTCCAGAAGTTTGTGTTTTATAATATATATATAAATTAATTTCTATTTTAATATTATTCTAGGATATAAGTGTCTTCCAAGATAAATCAACATTAATTTCATTCATTTATCCGGTACAAAATAAAGCAATAGTTGATCAACTTACACAAAAACAATTAAATGTTTTTGCTATGGGTAATTTTATATAAAATAAATGTTACAAAAAAACAATACATTGATTTTTTTATATAGATTGCATTCCACGTATATCTCGTGCACAAGTAATTGTTTTTGTTTCTCAAAAGAAATATTTAATTGTCTATTTTTGAATAAAAGGTATTTGATGCACTTAGCTCAATGGCAAATATTGCTGGATACAAAGCTGTTATTGAAGCAGCAAATAGTTTTGGTCGATTTTTTACTGGTATTTAGACAAAATTTCATTTTCTTTTTCGAAATGATTTAATTTGATTTAATTAGGTCAAATAACTGCTGCTGGAAAATCTCCACCTGCAAAAATTTTAGTTATTGGCGGTGGTGTAGCTGGTTTAAGTGCGATTGGCACAGCACGAAATATGGTACTAATTCACTTCATCTTTTTCATAGCTCTTCATACTATTAACTAATAAGTTATTATAGTCATATTAGGAATGAATAAGTATGTATTGTGAGATTTGTTTGCTTGCAATTTTGCCAACCTTTAAACAGTTAACCCATTTCTTTTAAATATATATATGTAGAAATAAAGAGATTTGATGAAAAAATATAATATTCTATATTTATTTTATTAGGGTGCAGTTGTACGAGCATTTGATACACGTCCAACTGTCAAAGAACAAGTACAATCTATGGGTGCGGAATTTCTTGAACTTCATTATAAAGTAATAAAAATGAACAATGATAAATATTTGATTATAAAAATGAAATTATTTTTAGGGAAGTGAAAGTGGTGAAGGAACTGGTGGTTATGCTAAAGTATGTGTTATTTTTTTGTTTTATTTATAAAATTGAAAATTTTATTTTTAGGAAATGTCACCAGAATTTATTGAAGCTGAAATGGCTTTATTTGCTAAGCAAGCTAAAGAAGTTGATATTATTATTACAACAGCTTTAATTCCAGGTATAAAAAATGTGTGACATTTCATTTAAATATATTTCCTTGATATTATTTTATAGGCAAAAAGGCTCCAACATTAATTACAAAAGTAAATTTTTTTAAATTTAATATTTATTTATTTTAATAAACGAATCATTTTGTAGGAAATGATTGAAAGTATGAAACCCGGTTCTGTTGTTGTTGATTTAGCTGCTGAAGCTGGCGGTAATATTGAAACAACACGTCCTGGAGAAAAATATGTTTATAAAGATGTTACACATATTGGTTATACTGATTTACCATCACGTTTAGCATCACAATCATCTGGTTTATATGCAAATAATATATCAAAATTTCTTTTATCGATTGGTAGTCAAGATCATTTTTATATTGATTTAAATGATGAAGTTGTACGTGGTTCACTTATTTTACGTGAAGGTGAATGGATGTGGCCACCACCAAAACCAGCTGCTATCGAAAATCCTTTATCAAAAGCAGCTGTAAAAGATGTTAAAGCTGAAAAGAAAGCTGCTGCCGAAGTTTTACCACCAAATTATTTTACTGAACATTTAAAAGGTTCTTTATTATATACAACTGGTCTTGGTTCACTTCTTGGTTTGGGTATTATTTCTCCAAATCCACTTTTTGCAAATATGATTACAACATTTGCTTTGTCGGGTGTTGTTGGTTATCATACAGTATGGGGCGTACAACCAGCTTTACACAGTCCACTTATGAGTGTTACTAATGCTATTAGTGGTATTACTGCTGTTGGTGGATTATTATTAATGGGTGGCGGATTTTATCCACAAACAATTCCACAAGGTATTGAATTAATTCAATAAAATATTGTTACGATAAAGTGCTTGTGTTTTCTTTGTATTTAGGTTTAGCAGCTGCTGCTGCATTCATATCAAGTATTAACATTGGTGGTGGATTTATTATTACACAAAGAATGTTAAACATGTTCAAACGACCAAGTATAGAATTAGTAAAATAATCTATAATTAATTTAAACGTTTATTTTTATTCTAGCTGATCCACCTGAACATAATTATTTATACTTAATACCTGGTGCAAGTTCAATTGGTTTATATGCTTGGGCTAGTCAACAAGGATATCATGATATAAATCATTTAGCATACTTAGCAGCATCACTCTGTTGTGTTGGTGCTCTTGGTGGTTTAAGTAATCAAAAAACTGCACGTCTTGGTAATACTCTTGGTATGATTGGTGTTTCATTAGGTAAGCTTAAACTAAAACTTTTTTCAGTACATGAGAAAATAAAAAATATCAATGAATAAATATAGGTTTGGCTGCAACACTTGGCTCAATCCATCTTGATATGCCATTAATAACACAAATTGGTGCAACAATGGGTACTGGTGGTTTACTCGGTGCACTTGTTGCTCGTCGTATAGCTATTACTGATCTTCCACAATTAGTAGCAGCTTTTCATTCACTTGTTGGTATGGCTGCTGTCCTTACATGTGTTTCACATTATATTGCCGAATGTGATCATTTTGTTGATGATCCAGCAGCATCAGTTATTAAAACTGCATTATTCTTGGGTACATATATTGGTGGTATCACTTTTTCAGGTTCATTAATTGCATATGCAAAATTACAAGGAATGATGAGTGGTGCACCAATTATGTTACCAGGTCGTCATGCAATAAATTCAGGTTTAGCACTTGCTAATGTTGGAGCATTAGCTTATTATATGATGAGTGCTGATCCAATGGTTGGTATTTCAATGTTAGGTTTAACATCAGCTTTATCAATGACAATGGGTTTAACATTAACTGTTGCTATTGGAGGTGCAGATATGCCCGTAGTCATTACTGTACTTAATTCATACTCAGGATGGGCATTATGTGCTGAGTAAGAAAATAATTTTTCTTTCTAAAGTATAATTATTTATTTTATTATAGAGGTTTTATGCTTAACAATTCATTAATGACAATCGTTGGTGCTCTTATTGGTAGTAGTGGTGCTATTTTATCTTATATTATGTGTAAAGCAATGAATCGTTCATTACCTAATGTTATTCTTGGTGGTTATGGGTAAATAATTTTCTATTAAATTATCTATCAATATTTTTAATTTATTTAATTTTAGTACCGACTCAACTGGTTCTGGAAAAGCAATGCAAATAACTGGAACACATACAGAAGTAAATGTTGATCAAACAATTGATCTTATTAAAGAATCTTCATCAATTATTATTACACCAGGTTATGGTTTATGTGTTGCTAAAGTAACTATTTAATAATATATATATATATATGTGTAGAAAGAGATTTTAATGATTTTATAGGCTCAATATCCAATTGCTGAAATGGTTGATATATTACGTAAACATGGTAAAACCGTACGTTTTGCTATTCATCCAGTAGCTGGTCGTATGCCTGGTCAATTAAATGTTTTATTAGCTGAAGCTGGTGTTAGTTATGATATTGTCCATGAAATGGAAGAAGTTAATCATGAATTTACAAACACTGATCTTGTTCTTGTTATTGGTGC